GACGCACTCTCGATATAACCGATATGACCACTACGCGCAGAGGGTAAAGCGGCTATGCGTGCCCTATGAGTTTTTACTGGAGATTAACCAATCACTACGTTCATACTGCGTTTGTTGTTCATTAAAATACGGAGCACGACTTGATTAGAACATGCTCTTCGGCGTCCTTACCGGTATGATGTACGAAGCACGAGATCTACAGGATCGCATGAGATGTACGGAGACTCATATCGGCGCCCCTGTTCGACATCTCACTCGAGTCTGTAAGTAGCCACGAATAGCGTTGACGTCTGTGACTCCTCTCCCGCTGTGTCCTGCAATGTATCGTACGGAGGCCTCTAGTACTTTCGGTACAGGTATTTCGGTCTCGGCTCAACTGTCAATCGGTCTTTTCGGCATGGACGTTGGCTGTTGGCGCTGTGACCTAGGCAGTGCATTTATCAAAGATTAGAAGGCTAATAAGCTTAGTGGCTCACAATAGCCGTCGATCGGTCGTACCGCAATCGTCGTGCTTCCAGCTGATGCGTCAGCTTTCGCGGAAGCGACGGATATTGATCCTCCGCAAGCCAATAGCGGTGTGATTACGAATGCGAGTTTCTTGAAGGTTCTCTGCCAGTGTAAATGGGTTTACGGAACCTTCTTTGCCACCACTTGCTGTCTGCTTATGTGTAGATGGGTTGGTCGGTTTCTGACCATTTCGCAAACGGATTTCCAAGACGCACTGTAGAATGAAAGATGCTAGTTGCGCCAAAGTCGTCAACTTCAGACATTTTGTCAATGCGAGAATCATGGTAAATGAGGAGCGCAGTCTCCAACCAGAACAACTTCACTGGAGCCCCATACTACCATGATTGGACCTTTGTTTTGCATATACGTTCCAACCACAGCCTATCCGGAAACAGAGCCTAATGAGGCTTAGCCAAAGTACACCTAGGGCCATCAAAGGTGACCAGGCCCTAGGTTGTCGTCGCTAAGGTGTCGTAAGTATTGGGTCATGCTAAAGTGTTGAAAGCAGATTCTTGATGTCTGTGTTTTCGTTTGCAGATTCCTTCGCATGAGAAATCCGCTGTGGAACGCGAGACTCCGCTAGCCGACCGCCGGAAGCGGGTGTTGATCTCCGTCGCGAGTATGGTGATCAGTGATCGACAAGCGAGAGAGCATGAAAGCAGACATGGCATGCAATGCCCTGGGCGTGGTCTAGCGCCGCCCAAGTGATCTCGATCGTTCCGCTATTCGTGTATATAAGCTGGCCGCTCCAGCACTCTCGGACCGGTCCCACCAGCAATCCTGGTGTGTATTCTCAGTTTCGTTCGCGCGCCTGTGCTTTATCGTGCTTGTTGGACCGCAGAGTCCTACCGAATAAAACTCTTACCGGTAAGAGCCCTTGGCCACTCCAGCTACTCGCATTGCGGTATTAGCTTACGAGTTATTCCTCTGGGACTTAAGTGTCGGACGCGGCACCACTGAGTCTTGCAGGGACGTGTTTGGCAGACAAGGTCGTTGTTGAGTCAGCACAGAGAGGTGAGTCCGGGACACAGTGCCCAACCGTTCAATCATTGAATTTCTCACCAGAAGGAGTACGACGAAACTCCCTTGTAAACTGTCTTTTGGTCCAGGGACGCGTACCTGGACCGCTTCCTTGGCTCATTGCTAGTCAGTGTAGCCTGGACCGCAGTGTCCAACCGAACAAACCACGCTTCCACTGCATTCACGCTATTGCTGCATCTTGTCTGACGTTGACAGTCGTTGTTCTAAATCGGGGAACCAGTCAACGGTCCCTGGGCCCGTGTTTAATAGGCGGATAGATCCATCTGACCTTGGAGGTATTTCTCGGTAACGTACCCTTCTTTACAGCGCGTTGGCTGTATACTATTAACGCGATACATTACCAGAAGAATCAGAAGATCGACAAGCAACCGACAGGTCGCCGACCGATGTGCGCGCTGGGTGCACAGCCGAAGGACGCTTAATCGGCAGCACAAGTCCTAAGCAACGCAGCAGAGCGTGGCGGTACGCTTTCGCGAAGAAAATCGTTTAGACGGGGTTGAAGACCGGAATGAACGAAAGCAGCATCGTCGTCGCTTCCATGGTGTTCATGGCAAATTAAATCGAAGCCAACGTAAGCATAAACGACGGGTATGACATAGACGACGAACGGTGTCGTGACATAAAAAGCTGGAGGTCTGCTTGATTTCATATTTTCTTTTAAAGAATCCAGGAGGCTTTTCAGTTCAGAATAAATCACTTGAATTCAGACTTCAGATACTTAGCACTCGGTAAAATGGCTCGCTCTTGGGGCCGCGAACGCAGATACTGACGATATCCGTCGCAAGTTCCATCAAACATTCACAGTGGCGCACGTGAAAAGCGAATTTTACTTTTGCGTGCGGTATGCAGTTTTTTTTGCCTGACTTGCTAATGAAAATATCGGTTTCCCAATTCGAAAATTGGCACTGCTGAACCTCCCTTCAGAACGTACGTGGTAAACGCAGAAGGAATGATATCCAAAATGTCTCGACATACTCGTCTTCGGAAATACTTGCCTGCACAAGGGGGTTCCGACACACGAACGGCACAGTCACGATGAAAACTGCGGTGTTCACGAAGCAGAAACACGTGAGCACTTGCAGGTAGACTGCAACGAGCGACGCGTCTTTGATAAAGTCTTTGATCGTATAAATGCAGTAGCCTGTTGCAAGAGATATGCTAAAAAGCGTAGGAAAACGGAGTGGGAACGCACAGCAAAACACCACCTATTGACCCCTCAGCTATTAGCGCAACCTTATGATAGTGAGTCGTTCTGCCCAATCCGAGGTGGGCCAAGCAGACACCTGTTTCGTATTTTACGACACTGTGCAAAGGGGTTTAGGGCATGCGGGGTCATTCTTAGAAAAAATGTATTGGCGGACGTCACCGTACTGTCGGGCGGAGAACGGACGTCACATTTCTCGAGAACAATGACCGTAATTTCGACTAACATATGTGTCCAGCTATGTTTACCGGCTAGGGTATGCTCGTACGAAGTGTGACACTTGATAACAGGTGATAGTGTCTCACACTGCGAAGTCGGTCGCCACGAACAGTAAGGACTTGCCATTTCGCTGAAGAACCTGACAGTAGTAAACATCATGTCACTTATGCAGCTTGGCAGCAGAACGCGACAAAACAGCTTCAGCTTCTGAGGCCCACTCGTAGGATGAAGAAAAGAAGCAGAGAGTTTCATCGAATTCTGAACGTTGCGCACGCATATCCGAATTATCCTTATACACTAAAGCGTTGTTTCTGTCCGGCGACAAAAAGTTTTCGCGATCGTCCCGCGGCAAACCGGCTTGGGTTTGCCGCGACCGAGACTGCGATGCACGCCATATTTTCCCGGTAGACGTCGTCTTCGTGTCCCACAAGAAGGGCCTTCTTGAATGGTGGAACGACGACTTCGCGCCAGACGTTTGTACAGACGCGCACTCAATGGCGGTTTTTCAGGCTTGTCCAAGGGGGTCGAAGGAGGGGGGGGGGGTAGCACCAGGGAAATTTAAAAAAAATTTCCTATTCGTGCTGTGCTTATGGCACGGCGAGAGGGAGGTCGCCGTCCCCCGCTACCACCCCCAAAAACTGCCACTGCGTGCACTTTATCCACGTAGGAGCGGATCCGGTCGAGGGACTGACTGTTCAAGCAGTTGATAAGTTTCACAGCACGACGACGACGTCGAAGTTGTTGTTCGAATTGGCTGCTGACGGAGAGTTCCGGCCTCTTTTGCTTCAGCGTACTAGCCCGCATTGTGGAAGAGGTAGATCAAAGCGTCAAGCGTGCGTCATTTGTCTTAGTTTCACTGACTTCGTCTTCCCCCTTCCTCCCCCCACGCGGCTCTTACGCGCCATGTCGAGAAACGGACGTGCCAGACTGGCGAACAACGTGGTGCCACAATCAGCGAACAATTGTGCCACGTGTTGCTTAGAACTGGCACGCCGAATCCTTCAGACAGATCGAAGGTTTTCTGCGACGCTGAAAAACAAGATCCGTTCTTGCGAGGGTGCGTGGAGTAATTAGACCCTTGACTCCCCTCCCTCATTATCGTCATCATCGAAGCGGTTGTTCCTGTGTACGCACGTAACAAAAAATATTAAGCTGCACTGTGAAGTTTGGTATCATTCCATAGGTATTCAAAATTTATGTAAAAGCGGAAAGTCTCAGCGCAATCGGTTGGCTTCGACAAAAGTTAGGGCCTCATAAAGTTCCCCAGCTTGCCTCCTGCTTCCATGCTATAGCAAGCAGTATGTATTCATGCGCATACTGGTAAGACGGCGGAGTACTGTCAGGTTGGTTGCAGGAAGGTTTTTCTGCATGGACCATCCGAAAATGACGTTCGTTTTTGCATGGGGGTATTGGGGAGGCGGAGAGGAGGCGGCCGGCAGGCAACCGAAGCGGCCGACGGGATGAGGACGCCCCGGACGCAAAGGCGACGCGTGGACCCGGTGGCGCAGTGGTTAACGCAGCGACTTCGCATTCTAACGGCTCTCTCTTAAGGTACGACTTTGACGGTTCGATTCCGCCCTGGGTCCCTTCTTTTTCACGGCCAACTCCTGGGGCGGCGACCGAGTCTCCAACATGGTGCAAATCGGCGGACTCTCCTGTGCACTCCGTCGAACGCCGACCTCCGAGGAACAAACCCGCGGGGCGACCGGACTAGCACCCCACGGGGCCAACAGAGCACCGTCAGAGCACTGCAGCCAAAGAGCGCAGATAGCGAGAGGGCAAGCGCGGCGCGGTGCGAGGCGAGTGAAGGAGCGACGCGATCCGGAGGGCTAGACGGAGAAGGAACCCGACGAGCGTGCAAGACCCGCGTGGCAGCCGACAACCGGCGAGGCGAGCAGAACTATCAGGACGCTCCGGTGGGGCTCGGAGATGCGGAGGCGGCGAGAATGTGAGAGGAAGGACCAGCGGCCGGTAGGCAACCGAAGCGGCCGACGGGATGAGGACGCCCCGGACGCAAAGGCGACGCGTGGACCCGGTGGCGCAGTGGTTAACGCAGCGACTTCGCATTCTAACGGCTCTCTCTTAAGGTACGACTTTGACGGTTCGATTCCGCCCTGGGTCCCTTCTTTTTCACGGCCAACTCCTGGGGCGGCGACCGAGTCTCCAACAGGGGGAGGGGGTCTCATGCTTGCATGATATAGCGAGCCCGCTATGGCATGCATCCGATTGGGGGCATAATAAGAAATTTGGAGTCATAGATTCACAGTAAAAAAACAGCGACGACACGATCTTACAAAACTTCGGATTTTGGCATTCGTGTTCGACCACGCCCTAGGGTTATGTGCAAACATCAAGGAATCCCCGATAGCGGCGCTGGCTGCGCAAAGCGCAGCCACCCGCTAGTGTGATGCAACCAAACGCGTTATCGGGCCTTTTAAGCTCATCAGTGTAGTTTCTGACTGACCCGAAACCTAAGTACAGAGAGGTAAAAAGCTCGTCGCAGGCGGCACCAATAAACCAATAAATATTTTGGGCAAAACTTTGACAACATAGTTCACATTTGATCTGCTGTCGCTCAGTATATGCGATAACGTCTTCAAATGCTCAAACCCCAACGTCGTTCCTTCATCACGAGTTAACTCGACACCGTTTATTGTCTACTTGTTTCCAAAGTAAATAAAGCTGGAAGCATTTGTTGGTGTCCACGAAGACTCCGCGCGACGGAGCAACCGGAAATGAGTCGTGCACGAGTACACATTAGTAATTATTGAGAATTCCGTCGCCAGAACTGTTTATTACACGCATGCACCAGGATAGCGTCGATGTTTACCGATAGAATGAGTCATCGAATAGCCCTGAACGACTAAAAGAGTCAATTCATATGACGCCACGAAGGAGGTATACCGCGGCCAGGGTCTTGTTATTGCTTGCTGACTCAGCGCCCAGCTAGTTGATTTTCCCCCCAAAAAAACGAAGAGTAACTGTTATGGTAAGCTTCCCTTGATGTGAGTCAAGTTGAGAAGCGACAGTGGTTCAGACGAAGCAACCCGTGTCCACAGAGCGAAGCGTTCTTCGTTGTCGTGTGAACGAGACGTCAAAGATTATGGAGCACCTTGGGAATTAGTTTACCGACTCCAACATCGTGTGCTTGGCTGCATGCATAGGACAAATTTTCGGGGCATTTAAAAACGGTACAGTCTATTCCTAACATCTGAAGTTGCTTTCGTACTCCAAGTTATTCAGTTCTAGAGATGGGCCACGCCGCATAGTGCAATGACACCATAGTCGCCGTCGGACGACACCGCAAAAATCTATCCGGAGAAGATGCTTACAACTTCGGACCTGAAGTTCGTAACGAATCGCCGGAGGACAAAGGAAATTCCGCTCTTGCAGCCGGTCACTATGAGGTAGGGAAACTTGTGAACCGGTAACGCGTAGAGCGTTTGTACGAAATGCTTAGGACGCTCTGAGTGCGTACTCATTGGCGCTGGCTTATGACTTCACATTCGCGGCACGAATACTGTCGAGCCGTGCGGAAGCGCACTTAGCGCTTGGAAAGTGAGTCGTCCCTGTTAACCTCTGGGGTGCTACGCACGAGTTTAGTTTCAAATACGCCTACATTGATGCCAATGAGGCGTTGAAACTTCACGCCAACATCCCGTGTGAGATGACGAAACTCGACCATGCAGAGCTTGGCCAGGCCTTCCGTCGGAGAGCAGTCGCTCTAGCTGCAACGGGGCACGCTCAGCGCGCTGTCCTTGATTTGCAGGTAGCTAATCGTTCTGGCAGTCTGTCGGAGGAGGCCTACGCTGATGCGATGGACGCAGTTTTACGTTCCGCGAGCAATAAAGTAGGTTGCTGGGACGGTCAAGTCGCTACAGGACTAGTAAAACAGGAAGTGCTAAGGGCCCGCAGCTGACCGCTATCTTAAGTAGGCTTTGTGACACAGTGTATGATTTCGTATTGTTCGTTTATTAGATCCAGCTAAAAAGGACAAATAAGGCAACCGTATTTCTCTTAAAAAACCACCTCTATAAGACACCCAACCATGTGCAAAGGGCCTTAATGCCCGGTAAAAGGCCCGGTCGAGCAAGCGCCCGAAAGTGCCTTCGGTCCCCCCTTTGGTACTTTTGTGCAGGTAGATTTGTGACCTTTAAGGCAACTTTAATGTACGCATGTGGGCTCCCTAAAATAGCCATCCGCAAGTGCCGCTATAGCCACTTTTCGGCGTATAAAAAACAATAAAAATTTGTAAAATTAAGAAATTTACGAACCCTTAAACGGGCCGGGCCTGCCCTAGGCCCCGGGACGCGGTTAGGCCAGAAAAATTGAGGCCCGGTCCGTACCCGGCCCGGCGGGCCTAAGGCCCGGTTGCACATGGTTGTAGACACCCCACCTAATAGACCCCCGCTCCAGAGGCTGAGCGAAAAAATATATCTCTCCTCTAACAGTAACAGTATTCGGTTGTAGTGTCACTTTTTGAGGCTTTTACGTGTAGCCTACAGCTCTAGAAGTCGAATGAATAATAACCCCCGGGGATCTATTAGAGAAAAAGGGTATTTTTGCAAAAAGACTTGCAGGGGGATCCACGTCTGACTAACGCGGTCCGAATAAAACCGACACACTTATTAATTACACTTTTAGCGTGAAGAAAACTGGCGGGAAAGTGCGCCGATCGACGACTACGATCCGCTAGAAAGTGATTCCAGACACTCCGGTCGAACGCTTCTCCTCGCCGATGTTAACCGTCTCGTTCTTAACGGCTGGAGTAGTCCTGGTGCAGCAGGTCCAAATTTTGACTTTCGCCGATGGCTCTCCATTCAAGGAATTCTAAAACATTGCAACGAAATCCTGGACGCCATTCGCAAGGGCAACGGAGAAAGTCACCATCCACTATTCTCCTTGCAAAGTCAGAACAAAGAAACGCAAATTGAGACAATACTGCTCTGCTTTACGAACAATGCGTGGCTTAGCCGAGCTGCATCATCACTCCTCCCCGAGTTAGTTTTTCGTATTTCGTCATTAGCTGCAAGGGTACAGCCGATCTCTTTTAGTCCGTTGTTTGCCTACGCAAATGCAAGGGAATGGTTAAAGCTGTTGCTGACGAACGGCTTCTTATCGATTTATGACCCATCAGCATTCGGAATGGCGCAGTGCTTGGAAAAGTTCGGTTTTTACCAGTATGCCAAGAAAGCCATAGAGTTCTCTCTGCGTACTGTGGACCTCGTCAAGGACGCTGACGTCGCTACGATGGTCAGCCACTCATATAAGCGGTTGCTTAAATATCCGGTACGTTACTAGTATTCACACATTCTGGAGCAAATACCTTAGTCAGTAGACAGCAGCAAAAGTTCGGTTTGCTGGTGAAAAAGGTCCGCCTCAGTTAGCGATGGCGAGGTCACTATTAGGAAGGGAGAGGGTATTTTGAAGTGCTACAGTGCCACTGTTACGCAGCGTTGCTATCCCAGTTTATAATTTGTAGACCTAGGCATCTGTGACGTTTTCCGTGACGTGACTTTATCACGTCACGGCCTACGTCACGGGGGTGGTCGCTCATCACGTCACAGTCTTAACAAGCGGCCCGTGGTAGTGACGTGATGACCGTGATCCGAGACGTGACGACGTGACCTTATCACGTCACGCCACACGGCACGGTAGGGGTCGTCATGTCACGTATCGCGCACGGACGCCCTGGTGCCTGAGCCTAATAATTTTAAAAAAAAGTGCAGTGGGTCTACCGAGCGGTGTCGACCACCAGTGAGGCCTCAATCGATATGATGTATAAGTGTTCGTTTAGGCCGACAAACCGAACGTGAGCTTTAGCTCGATCGAGTGCAAGGATCCGTTATGTCTCTCAGATACTGACCCATACTCACAAATCCTAATGAAGGTGCGACCATCATATATCAATGCGCTCGGTAGGCAGTGGACAACTTGGCTAAGCTGTCCAGTGGGTTTAGAGAGTGTCTACGGATCTATTGATAAAGCACAAAAGCCTTTCGTCGATGTTACGGAAGCATCGCGCCGAGAGGTCATTGCGGCAGTCGCCAGGGCGGCCGAGGAAGCCTACGAGAGGAACGATTTGTCTGAAGCTAGACGCTTGTACACAATCGCCATTATCTCGACCCAACGGCGCAACGTATACTTCCTGATTCGACGAGCGCAGATGGCACTTCTTGAAGGACGGTAAGCGACAAAGAAGTATCTTTCTGAGAGATATTTTCTTGATTAGGTGGCCCCGGTATGACCCAAAGGGATCTTGTTGGTTATAGGGGGGAAAAACTTTAGGGGTGGGGGAAAAATGGCCCAAAATTTTAGGGGTGGGGGAAAGTCATGTTGCATCATTCAGCGCCAAGGGATCCTTAAATGCTTCATTGGCGTTACTATAACCACTTACCGTGACTTATCCACAGCAAAAGAATTATAAATAAATAATGGCCGCTTATTGGTTATGGGTGGGGGAAAACACCAAAACCAAAGGGTCCCCCCTTTGGTTTTGGTCAAATATTCTAAAAAGTTTTTTCTTGACTTTTCGGGCCCAATGTGGTGTCTTGAGCGTTCAAAGTGAGTTCGAAGAGTATTACCAGCGTTTCCGAAGGTTATAAGTTTCCCCCACCCCTAAAGTTGGCGACCTATTTTTCCCCCACCCCTAAAGTTTTCCCCCCCCTATAACCAACAAGATCCACCCAAAGACTATGCGTGGCTGCGTTTGCCGTATTTGCCTTATTTTTGTTAAGGGAAGTTATTTCGCCGTCGTGTTGGTACCAGTGATTGAAATGTCGGGGACGATTATGCAGCACATAGCATATGTTTAAAAGAACTTTTTCTTTCAGATGCGAGGCTGCATATGTCGACGCTTCCGAAGTTATCAAGCTAACCCCGAAACTTCCAACTGCGCATGAGCTAAAGGCTAAGGCACTGCTGCGCCTGGGATTCGTGACGAAAGCGAAAGCCGTTGTGGATGATCTCAAGAGGCTCGACTCGTCATATTCGATTGAGAAGTGTTTGGTACATTGTTTGATGCACAGGGTTAGAAAAGCTTTCGCGACCGAGTCAACCACACGCTTCAGAAAGATGCCCCCGTCTGCGATGCTAGATGTCTCGAAAACTACGATCCCGAAA